CCCCCCATAGAGCAGCAGACAAGGCAGCAGCAGCTCCTGCTTCTCCTGGGCCTTGCTCTGCGCCTCCTAATGATTCAGCGGCAGAGTCAGAAAGCCCAGAAGTCCTGGAGGAAGTCACGCGGCTCCTGGAGCCCCTTCCGAAGCTGCTGCAAAGCGCACTCGAACAGCAGCAACAGCAGCAGCAGCAGCAGCACAACCAAGTGGTAGTGATGCTGCTGAAGGGGGTGCGGGGGCTGCGCCAGCTGCTGTCTGCTGCTGGAGAGATTCCAATAGCTGCATGTCTTCATGCAGGTGCCCTGCCCCTCCTTGTTGGCTGTCTCGCGCACCACAGCAAAGCACTCATGGTCAGTTCTGCTGCTGCTTCTGCTGCGGGGGTTGTTTGGACTGTGCTGCTGCTTGTGTCTCTTTGTGCTGCTGCCGCTGTGCAAGTCGTGTCTCACTTGCATTGTTCAGTGTTGTTATGATTGTTCGTTTGCGGGGGCAGCAGCGCCAGGCAAGGGAAGCGCAGCATTAGCAGCAGCAAACGTGCATGCGTGCAAGTGTTGCTGCTGCAGCTGGAAGCCGCGTGGTGCCTGACGAACCTCGGAAGTGGCAGCAGCGCGGACGCTGCTGCTGTCGTCAGCTGCGGGACTTTGGGTTTCATCTTTTGCAGCATTTTCAGCTTCTCGCCCGAATCTCTTGCGCTGCCCTGCAGCCCCCTGACTTCGCCGCGGGGGGCTCAGCAGCAAGCCATGGGCAGCCCCGGGGCCTCGCGGGAGACCAGCGGCTTGCCCACAGAGGAAGAAGCCTTTGAGCAGCTGCTGTGGGCTTTGGGGAACATCACGGGCGACAGCGCTGCGTACAGAGACATTGTGTTATCGCAGGAGCTGCTGCAGGAGCACATGCGCTCTCTGCTGCTGCAGCCGCCGCAGCAGCACGAACAGCTGCAGAGGCAGCAGGAAGCTGTGCAGCGGCACGCTATTACTCCGCAGCTCCAGCAGCTGCTGCTGCAGCAGCTCCACCGCATAGCGGGTTTAGCACCGCAACAGTGCAGCGCGCAGCTAGAAGGGCAGCCGCTGCTGCCGTCGCTGCACCAACAGGTGTTGCTACTGCTGCAGCATGCCAAACGCCCCCAGACATGGCGCACTGCCGTGTGGCTCATTTCTAACCTGTGCAGGGGGACGCCTAGGCCAGAGGTCAGCCTTCACTGCGGCCCCTACATCCTGCAGGCACAGCGCAAAGGGTAGTTTGCTAGCTAAGAGAGTCACAGCTCACAGGCAAAGTCTTGAGATCTAAACTTCGTTGTCAGCCTGCCACAGGAGGGTTTGCACAAGTCGTACTTACTTTTGGGTAAATTAATTAAAGATTTTCGAGCTATAGTGCGCAGCCGAGTTCGTATGATTTGGTGCTGCAGGCAAAGCTGCTTTCACCCCTGGTGCCGTTGCTGAGACATGCGCTGCAGCAGGCCTCACCGCAGCAGGTGCTGCCACCGCAGCAGCACGCCGAGCTGATTCTGCAGCAAGAGACGCTAGCGGACGTGTGCTGGGCTATAGATGGCCTCGTAACGAGGCCCGAAGGGGTCTCATTGCTTCTGCAGACGCCTCCGTTGTTGCTGCACGTCGTGCATGCCCTGGCTCACAGCAGCGGGTGCTGTTGCTGCGCTGTTGATTCCACCACTACCGACGGAGTAGAAGGGAATGCTGCAGCTAATGCACGCACTTTTGAGCTGGACGTCCTGACAGGGCGAAGAAATAAATGCTGTCGCGTGTGTAACCCCCAACTGGCGCAACTGCTGCAGGACCCGCAGCAACAGCAGCACATGCTCCTTCCACTACATCCGGCGCTACGGATTATCGGGCAAATCGCAGCAGGAACAGCTCGGCATACCCAGCAACTACTGTCAAGCTGCTGTTGCATGAGATGTCTGGCAAGCGCAACAGCTGCTGTACACGGCTCCACCGGGAGCGGCAGCAATGCAGGCGGTTGCCTTGCGCCTGAGGAAACCCTCAAGCCTTGTTGCTCTAGAGGGACCCCCGTAGTGCTGCGGTGTCTGCGAGCCCTGCTGATTCGTGTGAGTCTCCCTTCTCTGTGCAGAGAGGCATGCTGGGCCCTCAGCAACCTAGCTGTGGGCAACAGTGAACAACTGCAGCAGCTACTGCAGTGCAACATTCCGCAGTATGCTCTGATGCTGCTTGAACAGCCACACTTAGGTGACGAGCTGCGCAAAGAGGCGCTGTGGCTCGTGTCCAACGCATGCACCACTGCAGCAACGTTTCAGCAGCTGCTCGTGATGCTTCAACATGGCGCACTACGGCATTTGTGGGCTCTTCTAGAGGCTGCTGCTGCTGCAGCCGACGGCCGGGCTGCAGAAGCAGCCCTCAACGCAATATATAATGTTGTGTTTTTGGCAGAGGTAGCGCAACAGCAACGATCTGGCATGATCTCTTGTGGTTGCTGTGGCGCTACAGCAGCAGCGGCGCAGTGCTCCTGCTGCTGCCACAAGCCGCTGCTACTGCTGACTTCTCTAATGCCAGGAGATGAGGGACTAATGCTGCTGCAGCAAGTACGCCAGCAGCACTTAACTGATGCAGCGGACATAAAAAGTGACCAGCTCGCCTGCAAGCTTTTGCATTTACGGAACGCCGTCAATCCCTCCTTGTCCAGTGGGGGAAACTGCCAGCTGTTTGTCAATTGAACTTCGTGGCGCGCTGCCAAGAGACCTACTTGATGTGCACTCCGGGCAGCCTTTTGGCGACCGCTTGAAATGTTGCTTGACCGACTGTTTCTTTAGCTGCTACGCCTTGCCGTAACACAGCCGCAAGGACTGAACGGAAGGTTTGCTTTGCTTTTGTCACTTTTTCTGGATGTAAGCACGAATTGCATGCTTGCTCCAGGGATGAATTTGCAGGTGTTTGGCGTGCCTCCTGGCGAAGGCGAAGCAAAGGCCGATTCGTGACATGTCACTGACGCAGTGCTGTAAGAGCTGCAGCGACTCCGTGAAAATCACGGTGGATGTGTTTGCTTGGGGGACAACTCATTGCTGCTCTGTTCCCGAATCTGAAAACTGTGCTTGTGTTCTCACTGTTCATTTGGCGCGTTTTTCCTTGCCTTTACAACGAACCCTTTTAGAAGCGCTACAGACGCAGTTTGGAACTTCTGTATCGCTACTAACGAACGGAAAATCCGACAAATTGTTACTTCGCAAACCCGACGGGCTCTCGTGTCTACAAGCACATTGCACAACGGCAGCAGGATCTTTCACCTTCTGTTATTCTCTGCTTACGTCTTAACTTTTCCTAGCATTCCTTGTTATTGCTTGGCACTTAGGAGAGACCCGGCGATTCCACAAAAAACACCAACTGCTTACCAAGACAATAGCCTGAGTACAAGGGAATGTTCATTTTAACTCAGGGCAGGGTTTTTTCAAAGCATGCTGCACGCATTTCTCATTCTGTAGTTGCCCCACAAGGTGCTAATGGGCAGTGCCCAGCAAATGTAAAAACGAATGCGTGCCTGCCGCAGGCAGGCTCCTAGGCAAAACTTGCGCAGACCAAACATGATTTCTCATTCTTGCACCATCGTGAAATTACTGCGGCAGTGAGGGAGACGTTGAATGACTGTTGAGTCGGCAAACGCAAACTTCAAGGGTTCTATCGCATCGGTAAAGCCTGCGAGTTCAGGTGCAGCTTGTTTGGCAGTGCATGTTTTAGTCTTCATTCACTTCGATACGTTCTTACCTCTCCCAATGTATACATCAAGCTAATTTTAGTGACTATTTCCCTAGTACAGCCCACAAAGACGTTTTCATGGTGCCAGGCTTGCTTTCGACAAATTTCGTTTTCAGCGTTGTGGTAGCAGCAGTTGATGCACTGAAGAGCCCGTTTGCTTGGGAGATTGCCTTAGCGACTCTGAAGGCTTTTTGAACGACTCTTGCCGGACAGCTCATTCTGCATCCTTTAGCTGGCTTTTGAAACTTGTGACTGAGATATTTAATTGGCAGAGCAAAGCCAAATTTCCGAAGTATCCATGCGAACGCCTACCACAGAGGGGGTCCACAGAACTGCCTTCAATTGTCGCGTTAGATTATAGTTCTGTGCCAGAGTCCAGTCTACCGGTTCTGGCATAATGTACGGAACTGCAATGTCCATTTTAAGAAGGCAGACTAGCAGCTCCAACTTTACGGTAGCCAGACAAAGTGCTGAGAAGATACTAAATTCCCCATTCTGCAGCAATAAATTGCATCTCTAACACTTCGTTTATCCTTAACAGCCGCGTAAAAACGAATTTTTCAGACACATAGTACTAGTGAGGGTCGCAAAAGTTGGGAGAACGAGCACGGTTTCGGGGCTGGAATCACTTGAGGTCCGAGCCGGAACTGGTTCTCAGTGTCAACGTGGTCCCCGTTAGCTCTCTCTGTAGCTTTTTCTCTTATTTCTGAAGGAGAATTCATTTTTTAAGGAAAGAATTTGAGCTATATTGGTCAAAAAGGTTTAGGCGTCTGACGACTGGCCCATGTTTACGGGCACCCCTAAGGGTCCCTCGGATTCTCGGAGGCCTCCGGCCGAAAGCCGTTTGGCCTTTCCTTCAGAGGTCCAGGGCTTGCCGGTTGTTGCAACAGCAGTATTTTTGGATGGCAAGTGTCGCCAAATGGTTACTGAGGGGACCGTTCCCGTTTGTTCGGGCGCATCGACAAGTGGACAAGAGCCCTCTGGGAAGCCCGGGGCCCCAGGCAAGGAGAGCTCAGATGACCTGAAGCTCATTAGCCGGAGCCTGGAAGCTGCAGAGAAGGCTACAATGCAGTTCTTAGCTGCTGCAGCGAAAGGATCAGCCGCAGGAAAAGATGAGGAGGCGGACACTGTGGGCAACGACCCCCTGGGCCTTGACGACGATTGAACTATTGAACTGTTTGCTGCTGCTGACAGTCTGCGTTTCTAGCAATGCGTAACATGCAGCTGTTGCTTGACATAATTGGAGCCAGAGACCTAAGCTGAAGGCCACGGCGATAAGCCACCCCGCAGCATTCAAATGAATGACACTCTGTAGAAGGGCAAATCCCTCCCCAGGCGGGCCCCTACAAGCGAACACACATGCACAGCTGCAGCTGGGTTATTCTGTGTGTGTCTCGGCTCACCAGTGCTTTCCAGCCAGGTTAATCCTGGGCAAACGAGGGAAACATTTTGTTGCAAATATTTTCTTTGATTTCGTCTTTTGCCGTACCGTATCGGTCCATTCTTGAGGCCAGCTCCTCCGCACTCAGCGAACAAAATCCATTTTTTGTGAAGAAGGCGGCCAGTTCCTTTCTTCGGGCGCTCACAGCGTTCATGTGGCTGATCAAAGCTCTAGCCTGTCTTCCCCTGGCCCTTAGAAGCGGGGCGACCCCAGCGGCTTCGCAGTCTTCCGTTGTTGCAATTTCCTGTTTGAATTTGCATTTGTTTTCGTTAACTCGGGTGAAAGACTGCAAGTTGAACACAAGTGCAACTGACTAGGAAAGCCTGCGGCGCCCGCTTTCCCGCCAACACCTCCAGCTGCATGCGCTGCTGATTCGGGTTTTCTGTGTCCCACAAAACAGTGAAGAATGCCTTCATGACTGCTGTGGAGAGTCCTGAAGTGGAGCAGCAAAATTCTATCACCAAGGTCGGGTGTGCTGCCTGCTGCTTGCATGAGGAGGCCGAGGTGCCAAAGCTGAACTGTGCCAAATCACCTGCTGCGCATGCGTCTACCTCTTTCTGCGTGGTACCTGAAGAAACAAAAAAGAAAATTAGACTTTTCTTTCAAGTTTGGCTTTGCCTGCTGCTGCAGCTGCGCGCAACTCAAAGCTGCGCAAGAGCCGCCGCGCCCACCAGCCAGGATTCTTAATCATGCTGCGGAAATGTATGTCGCCGACCTGCAGCAAAAGAGGCAGCAGTGAGTGGTTTGCTGCGCCTTTCAGAAACTGAGACCGATGAGTTGACGCACATTTCGTGGCTGCTCAATCGCTTTGATTATTTCTTGTTGAGTGGCTGGGTCGGGCGAAAACATGTCCAGGCCTTCCTGCGGGCTGGAGTTGCTGAAAACAGCTTAACAACAGACTCTCGAGTTCAGCAGTACCAGGCCCAGGTAGGACTCCATGTGCTCCAGGGCCTCGTCATCTGTGCAGTGATAGAACTTCCGAGTGCCAGGCAAAGCCGCCACATGCGCATTCAAGATTTGCAGAATTGCTGCATCATTCGGCGCCGTCCCGCAGGCTGTCAGAGCCAAAGCAAACTCTCCCAGATCTCCCCCTGAAAAGCAAATTCAACAAGATATGCGGCGCTTTTGATGCAGTTCGCGCAGTCAGGCAGCCTGCTGGTGACTTGAATGCTGCTGCAGCAACCTGCTGCAGCCTAGCTGCCTGACACACCAGGAGTGTACAGTGATGGAGCCGTGATCCTGTCATCCAGGCAGGCGAAATGCGACTCCGACACGTTGGCAAAAATGGCGTCCGAAGGCTGGCCCCAAATTTTCCGCACTTCCGACGCAGAGAGCCCGCCTTCTGCGGACCTGTCTTGGTGGATCTTGACCTTGCTCGGGTTGCTGAATTGTTTCGGCGAAGCCGCACACATCATTTAGCTGCAGAATACGAGGCAAATGCCGTGAAACCGTACCACATAGGCACTACTTCAGCCAGCTTTTGGTCCGCTTCAGTCAGACCTGCACGTTACATAGACTGTCGGGTGATTCAGCAATTTCTAGGTGTGGTGGACGGCGAGGTCACCTTGGTTACAATTGCAGACGGCCCTGTACGTCTTTCCATTGAGTTTAAGAGTGCCTTGAATGAAGGGGTCACCCCGCTGCAACCCAGAGGCGCCGTCGGGCGCACACAAACCCGTAACGCAACGCGCGAAAAAAACCCACAAAAGAAAACTCCATATTTGATCCATTATCATCAAAGTGTAATTGTCCTTGCTTCATGTGCTGTCAAGCCAGTCACTTCTCGGGCATTTTCATCAGTCATATCAGTGCTCCAGTGCGCGCGTTAGGCAACGTGCCTGTACACCTCAGACGCGCCCCTGCGGGTATCCAGAACTCTTGCCGATCAACTTTGCAGTCCCAACAGTAAAATTACGGCAAGATGCCGTCAGGTTTGACAAGAACCAAGAAACTGGATATACTTGCCAATTAGTTCTCAAGGCAGGCGACTTTTGCAGAAAATGCGCGGCGAAAGCCATGACGCGTACTCCCAAGGCTTGTTGCTAATTCCATTGAAGTTGGTAGCCGCGCGGTGCTGCATTGTACACTGTGTGCACAAAACAAACCTTCAGGCTTCTCGTTTGGTCCGTTTTCTCGTGTGTACAATTGGCAGCTTATCCAATCGCGCAACTCGTTCTGCATTAGTGTCTGCAGCGGGTCGCGGCGAACGAAATGTCCATTTCAAGACACCGCGAGCGCCACATACCAGCAGATAAATGGGCTGCGTACTAGAAAACCAAAAAATAAACAGATTGCGCTACTAAATGCGCATGCATGGGAAATGCCCCGCTGAAGGCTCCCACGAGGCCGTTCTCTAAGGCATTAAAGCGTTGTTTCAACAGCTTGAATTTGATAGCTTAGTCGAGACACTAGCGCGGGAGAGTGCTGGCAACTCTTTAAGAGCAGAAGAGCTGCAGCTGTGCAGCGAAGGCTGCTTGGCTGTCCTTTGCTGCCTGCGAGCTAGAGAAGGCTGCAGGCGTGGGGCTTTTGCATGCAGTGAGCTCTCTACGAGCGGACTTGAAGTTTGGGACTTGAGCTGCTAGTTTAAAGGGTTTTCAGGAGGCCGCCAAGAGGCGCGATCTGCAGCGTGCGTTGGGACAAACAAAAGCACTGGTCTTTAATCGGTTGACGCCAAGTGGGACTCAATGAAGTGTTACCGACCCCATCGGCACTGCGACAGTGACGCTTGCAAAAGGTTCGAAAACATCACACAAAACAATACACAAATACTAATGCGGAGGCCGGAGCCAACTGCAGCGGGAACACAGAAGCAACCCCTACAGAAAGTCACTCCCCGCCAACTGCTTGGCCACTCAACTCCAACCACAGCCTTACACGCGCAAGCCGGGCTTTCAACTTTAGTGCTAGCTGGCTTGGAGTCAGCTGCGGTGCACAAACACGTGGGGACCCCCGGGGGGCCCCGCGACGGAAAAAACACAAGTGGAAACAACTTCAAACAGAGAAACACAAAAAAAATACCTACTGCGGGCTAGGTATTGTCCAAATGGCGGTGGCAGGCAAACACAGAAGTGAGGGTTGCACATTAAACAAGACAGGCGTCAAAGGCACCAAATGCACACGCCCTAACGACGGCAAAGAACAAATGCAAAGAACTGCTGTCCCGCGGAGGTAAACGAAAACAAGACGCTGAGGTGAAGACGGCGAACTCAGCCACCTTCCCCGACACTTCGGCTCGGAGCTCTCAGCACACAACACCTTGGGCCACGGCCTAAAGCACTATACCTTTTGTAGTATTGCGTCTGCGCATGCAGCGCCGCGGGCCGCCGCCCGCCGCACAACTCTCCCGCCGCCTGCGAAACCCCCTGGCTGCAGCTCCGGCGCAGCCGCTGAAGGCTAGAGCCAACTCGCGTCGCCTCGCAGCTGTGCAAGTCGCCTCAGAATGGGATTGGTCTTCAGCGCCGGCCGGGGCAGCGCTGCCACGGTGTGCTTACACAGCAAAGGCACCAGAGACTTCTCTCGGCCAGGCGGTCGCGAGGAGAGGTCCACAATTGATCCTGCTGAGTTCACGTTGATGCTAGGCTCACATTCGGCCTCTCTTGAGGCGCTAATGTCGCTGCCGGTACTTTCCTTCCTCTTTTCTTTGCTTCTTGCTGGCCCCGCTGCTGCGCCCTCCTCCTCCTCCCCCGCAGCGGGTCCTTCCCCAAAACGCTGTCTTGCCGGGTCCGCTGAGCTGCTGCGCACGTCGCGCAGCTGCAGCAGCTGCTGCGGCAGCTGCTGCAGCTGCGGCAGCTGCTGCAGCTGCGGCAGCTGCTGCCGCTGCTTCTGCTGCGCGCTCGGCCTCCGCTGCTGCTGCTGCAGGTGGGAAACCGCCGCCGCCAGGCAATACGCCGCAGCAAACTCAGGGAAAGTGAAAGAAACGCGGTGGCCCACCAGTTCAAGAAGGGCCAGTTCAAGAGCTGCAAGCTCCCGAGGCGGCACCCCGCCCACGACAGCCCACATAGCCAGCGGCGTGTGGTCATCTCGTACAACCTTCGAAACAAGAACAAGAGCTGCCAAAAGCAGGCGGTGGGCGTTTTTCTGCGAAATCCGGAGTTGCTGTTGCCTTTGCTGCAGATGCGTCAGCAGCAGCAGCGCCATCAGCATCTCGTGTTCCGTCGCCGACGCCAAGTGCTGCAGCCGCGTCACGTACTGCCCCAAAGTCCAGGGCGGCTCCGTGCTGCTGTTGAACAGCCCCAGCTGCTTCTGCACTCGGGCGCAGCCGGCGCAGCCGGGAGCAGCAGACGCGTAGCCGCAGCCGCTGCACTCCGGCCCGCCGGCAGCAGCAGCAGCAGCGCCCGCTGCTGCCGCTGGCACGGCGGCAGCCGTCTTTGCAGCTGCCGTTTTCATCGGTGAAACTCGACTCCCCTGATCGCCCTCACCTTCCTTGCGCAGCAGCAAACAGGCCTCCGCATCTTTGGCGGGAGGCTGCTGCTGCCGCTCCGTCTGTTGCTGCAGTTGCTGCAGTTGCTGCAGCTGCCGCTGCCACGGCGATTGCTGTCCCCGCTGCCGCTGCACAAACCGCTTCGCTGCAGCACGCTTGTGCACACACAGCGGGACGCCGCAGCAGCTGTAGCTCGGCCCCACTTGCCCCGAGTTCGCCGGGCCCAAGCACCCAGGCCAAGACCGTCTTTTCATCTTTTCCACAACACTCCAGATGCTGCTGTTGCTGCCGGCCCGCCCCAGTGCCGCCGCCAGAAGGGCCTGCCGCTCGGGGACATCCGCAGCGCCTTCCTGCGGCTGCTGCGGACCCTGCTGTTGCTGCTGCTGCTGCGGCTGGTGCTGCTGCTCCGCGCCCTTGCTGGCGCTGGCGCGGCAGCTGGCGCCAGCAGCAACCACCCCCGCTGCAGTCGCTTCCGCTGTCTCTTCGAGGAGCCGCGAGGGGCCCTCGTCCAGAAGCAGCGACGCCAGCGGGGAAGGCTGCTGCAGCACAGCGTCGGCGAGAGCAGCAACAGCATGCCGCTGCAGCGGCAGCAGCGCCAGCAGCAAAGAGTCGTGCATCAGCAGCGAGAAGCGGGCCGGGTTTTCGCTGTAGAGGTGCGCCAGCGCAGCGCCTATCCGCAGAGGGGGGCTAAAAGCGCAACAGGCACACACCCTGCTGCTGCTGCTGCTGCTGCTATTGTTGCTGCCGACCTGCTCCCCCACAGGAGGAAAGGCCCGGCGGCCCTCCCCCTGCTGGATGCAGGGGCAGTGAGAACAGTCGCAGTCCTCCTTCAAGACCTGGCGGGCGATTTGCTGCAGCTGCTTGTAGAGCTGCAGCACGAGGACATGGACTTGCTGCAGCGGCGCTGCAGCTTCCTCGTCTTCAGCAGCAGCTGCTGCAGCAACGGGGCGCTCGTCCGCGCCCCCCAGCGTGGACTTGGCCGTGCCAGCCTTGAGCCGGGAGCGCCAGGGGGGGCCAACTTCTGCTGCAGCAGAAGCAGCAGAAAGCTGGGGGCCCTGGGAGAGCTCGAGGCTGCGGCTGCCTGCTGCGAGCCGGCTCTTCATCCTGCTGCAGTAGGAGGCCGCCGCGGCAGCTGCTGCTGCTGCTGCTTCCGTGCTGCTGCTGCCCTCCACCACCAGCTCCATATACCGCACAGCCTCGCGAATCCAAGTGCCCCCGTCTACTGCTTCTGTCTTCTCCTCCCCGAGGCCCCGCCGCCAGTGCCCGCAGCTCCCGTGGCTGCCCCCGCAGCAGCTGCTGTCGAAAGCTGCGCCTCTCGTGCTGCTGCTGCTGCTCTCCACGTAAGACTCGTCGCTGCCGCTGCTGCTGCCGTGCCTCCAGCCATCGCTCGAGCGGCAGCGGCCCAGCACCACCAGCGGGGTGTCGTCGTTGGCCCCGGCGAACGCGCACTCGCCGCTGCCGCAGCTCTCGCTGTCCCCCTGCTCCGGCTCCTGCTGCTGCTGCTGCTGCTGCTGCTGCTCAGGCTGCTGTGCCCGTGGGTCGCTCTCGGGGTCGGGTCGCTGCTCGCGCGGCGGGCAGCAGGAGACACCCTCGGGCCCTCGCTGCAGCTCCCCGCGGGCCCCCGGAACGCCTTGCCGCTGCTGCTCCTGCTGCTGCTGCTCCCGCTGCTGCTGCTGCTGCTCCCGCTGCTGCCGCGGCTGCCGCTGCTGCTCCCGCTGCTGCTCCTGCTTCTGTTCCCGAGCTGCAGCCGGGGCCCCCTCGCAGGAAGGGGCTGCAGCGGCGGAGGCAACGCCGTGGCCGGTGGGCGGGGAGCTGAGGGCCCCCGCAGCGCTGTGGGACGGCGGGGGGGCCCCCCGGGGGGCCCCGGGGGGCCGCTGCTGCTGGGCCGGGGCCGCGGGGTCGGCAGCAGCGGGGGGGGCCTGCTGCTGGCGCATTTTGTGGAGGAAAGCAAGGTGGGGCCAGTGCTGCTTCGCTGGTGGTGCCGCTGCGCGCACTGTGGCAGCTGCGCAGAAGGCAAGGAAGCGGGTCTTCACAGCGGTGGAGGCACAGCGCCTACTGCCCAGCCAGAGGTGCGCAGGGTCTACGCCGCCAGGGGCGGAAAGCGCTGAAGCAGAAGCCCCCGGGGGCCCCCATCAAGGCCTTCACAGAAAGCGCGAAGATCTTCAGATCTGGAGGCTGGGGAGTTCGCGTCTCTCGGGAGAGGCAACAGGAGGGGAGGGGTCGCAAAAGGTGGAGCCCGGGGCACCCCCGCAGCAGGAAACGAGTGTTGGGCCCACTGCCAAAAGCCCAACGTAAAATCCCCCTTCAAAAGCCACTATTATTGTCCATCATGCCACATTCCCAACGCTGGCGCCGAGAGCCATCGCAGCAGCAGGCAACGGAGCCACCCGAATCTGGGGTGTATGTACACCGAAGATTTGGCAGCCAACAGGGGGAAAAACCCCTACAACTTCCAACCTCGTTCCTTCTTTGTTGCACTTTGCAGGAAAGAGCCCCCCCAGCGCCAGCCACGACACCCCATGCTGCGCAGCACCGCCAACCCCTTGGGGCGACAACTTTGGGGCCACCATGCACGTGTGGGGCGCCAACGAAGACAGTCAGCAGTAGACGGTTACTTAAAGACCCCAATTACCAGCACTTTCTGCAGGAAAACGCTCTTAACGTCATAATAAACTCCGAATTACAAACAATCTTCAAGATGTCTCGCGCGGTCTCAACGCCAGTGGGCCACGCGCAGGCCGTGTTGGCCGTTACACTGAATATATCTGTCGAGCAGGCTCTATAATTGCAATTATTAAATCCGGCGCAGAGGTCTTGTGCAAGAAACCTCGTGATTTCCGTGCGTGCGCATCCCATGCCACAGTCGCCAGCACAGGCGCACCACTTTTGGGCGCGAAACCCTGGCAACTGTTGCAATTTCTTAGTTTAATCGCAGTAGCTCTCCTGAAGAGTGGAGCAGTGTCTTAAATGGTTTTACTTCAAAAATTTTTCATGGGATGCGGCTTTGTTTCGGCTAGTGCCTGGGATGCGCGCAGCAGCGCGCAGGTGCTCGAGATCGGTAGCTACACCAGCTGCGGGAACCGCCAAGGGAAGTGTCCAGCCAACTTTCTATTGCATTAACTATATTAGGAGCCTGCAGAAAATTGATTCTAAGCCGGGGGTCAAAAAAAAGCTGTGCAGCGCAGGTTAAGTTGCCAGCAGCAGCCTGCTGTGTCTGCAGCCGCTGAGAGTCTCGGGGTGCCCCCACAGCTCGGACAGCGGTGCTCACTCAGCTGCTGCTCCCGCCCCACCTGAGGCCACTTTGCTGTTTTGCTGCAGTTCAAAAGCTCGATTTCAGCGTCACTTTTGCAATCTTTGCAGCTTTCAAGCCCGGACTGCAGCGCGGCCTGCAGCAGCTCCTGCGCGCCCAGTGCTGCCACACACTGCGGCCTCTTCGAGTTTCCGCGAAGTCTTGGCCCTGGAAAGTGCTGCGCCTGTTCGAATTTGGGGCCTTTTTGCGCTAACACGGCCAACACTGGGCTCGCGGGGCTGTGTGTAGCAAGCGGGTTTGCTGAGAGTCCCTGGCTAAGAAGCTCAGAAGCAAAAAGCAAAAAGAGTTCCACAGGGGGGCTCAAGAGCACCCCAGACACCCAGGATCGGATGTGTGGCAGCATTCTGGGCACTCCGGCCTTGTGTCCTCGCTGTGTCAGGGATCATAAATTCAACAATTAGAGATGCTGCGCGTGCTGCAGCAAGACGCGAAAGGCTTTCGCAGCAATTCCGAGAACTCGTTCTGAGAAACTGAACTCTGAGATCCCCGCCTGAGTGAATTGTCGTCTGCGACGCTTTGCCGAGCTGGGCCGCTGCAGGGGTCTCGTCTTCACATAAAACGCACACATTCTGTTAACTTGTGGAACACCTGCACGTCTCCGCGTAAGTAAGAGAGCAGATACGCGAAAAATGCCCACAGCCGCACACTACTGCAGCGGATTCAAGTCGGCTGCGAAGATCAGTTGCACACAAAACTGTGAAGAATCCTTCAAACTAACAACACTCTTTGCAACGAATTTCGTTACTTCATGCTTTCCTGAATGCCGTAAGCACTGGTGCTTTCAGCGCGATAATGATCCACTGGCAAGAAGTTAGGTAGCTCGGGTTCCGCTGTTTCTAGGAGCCGGGATCTTCAACAGTAGTTGAATCAATGAGCTAGAGTCTCAGCCCTGCAACAACTTTTCGGGAGCGGGAGGCTATGCTCAGTTGCTCTCATAGTACTATTCTTCTTAGTATACCCAGAAAGCCAATTCGAAAGCCCTCTCCAGAACTTTCTTCCTCTAAAGTGTCATGAAGCGAGAAAACAGCAGTAGCATCCGGCCAGAGCTGGCCAAGGGAGAAAGGTTGATGAAACCAAATCCTCCCCACTGACCCTTAGAAAAGTGAGCTCACAGCCAGCAGCATCATGAATCCCTAAAACAAAGACTTTGTGAAGCGCTCATTTGGGGCCGCCAAAAAATGTTTTCTTTCTTCGAGGTGAACGTGCTCACTTATATTTAATAACATTTTCTGAGGGTTTTTTCGTTGTTTGCACAGTGATAAGTGGGGTACTAACTGATTTTGCACGACAGTTAGGTGGTTTGAATTAAGGCCGTGAGAATGACGCGCGGGCAAAGTGTTCACAGAGTTCTCAAAAGCAGGCTTACTTCATTATCATAAAGTTTACTCTGCAAGCCATGAGCTGAGCTTTAACAGGCAGCAACTACGGCCAGGCAAAGCAGCGTTATATGAACACAACTGCAGTAAGTTGGTCCTTGCAATTACAGCCCATGGCAAAAGCTGGAGAGAGAATACGCCTCACAAGAAATTCACATGGAACAAGCATTTTAATATTGTCAAGGCCAAGCATTTATAGGTTGGCTTGGCCCTTCCTTCTTCCTAGAAAATCTCGGACAGTTGGCAAATCGAGCAGCGCGTCAGCCTACCGCCTCCATTTACCTCCTTTCCGAATTAAAATTCTAGTTCTATTCAGCATATTCTCCTAGGTCCCTTTAAGCTAACCCAGTGACAGTGTCGGGCCACTTCGCGGTGGTGTATCTCAGTGTACAGCTTCAGACAAATAATGACCTTGGATGAAGTCATGATACTTTGCATTTACTGTCTTTCAGCGATCTAAAGCGCAGATCAGCATGTAGCATACATAGGTTTCAGAAAAATCTTGGTATTCAATATTTGTGAAGAGAATTGTCGACCGCTGGCTAAAAAGAGTAACGCGCAGGAAATGGAAGAAACTGTGGAGGCTCCTGGCGCCACTTTTCCGTCGTTTTGCGCAGCTGGTGCTTATGAACAGTTGCTCGTACAAAAATCAGATCAGCTCATGAGAATAGTTTTTTCATAACTTGCATCTGCGCTGCTTCCTGGCCAAAATGCTGTGTAGATGCTCACTCGGGGCAGTTCTTTTCAGTAGTTGCAAAAGAGGTCCAGTGCAGCTCCTTTCTTTGGTGGTTTCTACTCCATCTGAACAGCTTCTGTTAAGTGTTAATCTGTACCTCTCCTCTTTATTTTTCACATAGAGAGGTGCACGTGTTGAAAATGAGCTTTTTGGAGCGCTATTTGACACTTAGGTGACAGTCTTTCAACAAGCAGCGCCTGGGAGCCTGAAAAGCGAGTGAACAGCCTTTAAACCCCATGTGTTCGATTTAATTACTTCTGGTTTGACATTCTATTGAGCCCATATCCTTTGCTTTGCATGCACAGCTCAGTGCATTGTTTGCTTTAGGCGATATGCTAGGTGTGCACACAAATTTCACGCCACATTCCTGCAGAATAAAATGCGGCGATTCCTTGCCGGTTATCGCAGTAGAAAAGGCAAATATCGCTTTATTTCCCCCACACTGTTGTAGCTTCTTTTTCAACCCCTCGCTTCCATGCTTTCTTCAGCCGGCCAGTTGTTTGTTGTTGCATTTGGGTTGTTAAAGCTACAGCTATGTGCACCGCTATGTTTAACCTGGCCATAACTTGGTCTCGCTAAAGGCTCAAGACTCTTGAATTACAGGCGAGATCTCTCAGCCTCATGAGCTTCCCAAAGTACAAGCCTCCTCACAAGTACACGGAACAGCGGGAAGCAAAACCTGCACATCAGTTGTTTACAGGCAACACCCAGGGATCCCGGGGCTTCTAAAGACTCAAATATGCGTTGGTAGCCACAATTTCACCTCTGTGGCCTGACGCGACCATTTGGTGGAGTCGCAGCAGTGGCCCCTGCGGCGCTCTGGAGCCAAAAGGCGCCCTTCGGATCTACCTTCTGTTGCAAATATTGAAATAAAGGAATTTTGGTTTCACATCTGTTTCCAAGGAGCGCTTCATGTGCAGAAGTCCGCTTCTTGCACGGGCTCCCCTTTAATTCATCCATGGCTGCATCCCCCCTCGCCGCCTTCTTTTCTTGCGAACTCACACATGCAGCGTAGACTCCACATATACATATTGCAGCAAATAATCGACGAAGAATTTTCCGGGAGAGTTCTGCGATCTGAGGCGCTATGATCTCCTCCTTCAAGCCGTCTACAACCCCTTGGGGGCCCCAACCCCACCCAGGTGTGGCCCCTGGGGCCCCCCTGCCGGTTAAGAGACGAACAGCAATCCTGCAGCGGTTGCCACTGGGTTCGCTAGTATGCAGATTTGAGTTAATGTTGAACTTACAAGGGCAACTTTAGCCGAAGAGATCGCGGTATTGGCCTTCTAGAGGAGGGCCCTCCTGACGCGGGGGGCCCCCCGTTATGTGGGGCCCTCCCTGAGCTAGCAGCCTTCAAATCATTGAAGCAGGGAAGAAGCAACTTTCGCACTGGAGGAGCAGCAGCAGCAACACCGACAGCTGCAGCAGCAGCAACATCGACAGCTGCAGCAGCAGCATGCAGGCTAGTCCTCAGCGTAGCCCAGTAGCTGCGGCTGCAAGGAATCGTCGGGCGGCTGCAGCTGTGGCGGCAGCTACGCTGGCGGCCTCTCCAGTGCGCCAAGCAACAGCAGCAGCAGAAACGGCAGCAGCAGCAGCAGCGCCACTGGCTACTGCTGCGGCCTTCCCTTGTTTTGACTTCGCCAAAAATGTGGGCCAGAGAGGTGACAGAGAAGGGCTTGGCTCAGGTGCTGCTTCCCCGCTGAGTGCTTTGCGGGCAGAGGGGCGGACACCTGCAACACCGCCGACAGCAGCAGCAGCAGCAGGCGCAGCAGCAGCAGCAGCAGACGCGCAGCAATGGAGCCGCTGCACTGAGGCAGCCACGAGTCTTTCTAAGGCCTGGAATGCCTTGAAACTGGACACGAGCAGCAACAGCAACAGCGGCAGCCGCGGCAGCAGCGGCAGCGGCAGTTACTGCTGCTGCTGCAGCACTCGACTTTACGGCGATGTCGCTCGGCTGTCTTGGCAGCTGCAGCACGAGATCAATGCCTTGCTGCTGCTTCTTCCCGCAGAGCACGTCCAGGAGGATGCAGAAACAGCAGCAGCGTTATCTGCAGCAGCAACTGCTGCAGCAGCAGCTGCTGCTACAGATGCGGGAGCTGCCAGCACATCGAAGATTTGGGGCGATGCAGCCTGTTGGAGTGTCGCGCTGCAGCCCCGACCGCCAGCAGCAGCTGCTGCAGCATTGTCTGCAGCAGCAGCAGCAGCAGCACACTCAGCTGCAACAGCAGCAGCAAACCAAACGCCTCAGCAGCTGAGTCGCTGCTGCCTTCCTTCGGTTTCCACAGCCCTTCGGCTGGTTCGAGCTCTGGGTCTTTGCTCTTGTGAAGCAGCAGAAGGCAGCAACGCATTGCTGCTGCTGCACAGAGCTGCAGAAGCAGCAGCAGGTGCCGCTGCAGCAGGACATGCTGCTGCAGAGCAGCGACCGGCTTACTGCACCTGCGAAGCTATTCAGAGCAGCAAGCCTTCGCAGCATCCGGGAGGTCCGCTACACAAGCTGCTGCAGGCAGCAGCAGAAGCAGCAGCACAGACTTATGGGTCACTGCTGTCAATAGAATCGCTGCTGCGGGCGCTGGCTGCTGCATTGAGGCAAGAGCGGCAGCAGCAGGACCTTCATTTGCTGCTGCGAGGCGCGGGGAGTGAGCCCTTTGCTGCCTGGGATCAGCAGCTGCAGCAGCAGCAGCGGCAGCCACAGCAGCAGCGGCAGCTGCAGCAGGCAACGCAGACACTGCAACATTTCCTGACGAAGGATTTCGAGGGCCTGGCCAGCGCCGTAGTCAGCCGCTGCATGGCCGGCTTAGCTGCGCTGCAGCAGCACGCACTGCAGCAGCAGCAGCGGCAGCAGCAGCAGCAGCAGCAAGGCGCCCAACAGCAGCAGCACGAAGAAGTGCTTCTCACTATTGGAGCCGTAAGTCTATTTCAGCTGCATGGGTGCAAGTGCGCATCACTATGAGGTTATTTGCTGAGGGCTGGAGCTGCTGCTGTTTGTGTGGCTTTGTTTGCTGCAGTCAGCGCGAAGCCTGCTGCAGCAGCTGCTGCAGCTCAGCAGCAGAGAGCTGGAGCTGTGTCGCAGAGGCGGGGCCTCCTTGCTGCGGCATTTCTACCTCCACTGTAACGCGTAGGCCTCAGCAGCAGCAGCAGCAGCGGCAGCGGCCCATAGTCCACGTGAAGCACGAAAGATAAGGCACTGGCAGCAGCATGAAAAGCGGCAGCACCAGCAGCAACAATAACAGTAGCAGCAGCAGCAGCAGCGAAGAATGTGACCAGGGGCCTGTGGAAGTCTTGCTGTGTGCATGTAGGTACTTTGCATTCTCTAGAAGGGAGATAAGAGCAGGCCATTGGTCTGCTGCTGCTGCGCTGCTGCTGCCTCTCACCCCGCTGCTTCAGCCGCTGCTGTCCCTTCCGTGGGCCCCGCAGCTTCAAAGCGAAGCAGCAGCCGCAGCAGCCGCAGCAGCAGCAGCCGCAGATGCGAAGGCACCCTCTTGGACATGCGTCGCAGCAAGTGCAGCAGTTCAGCAAGAAGTAGTGGAGGTGCTTGACTCGGACAGCGAAGGCAACAGCAGCAGTGGCAGCAGCAGCAACAACTGCAGCCGCAGCAGCAACAGCAACAGCAGTAACACCAACGTGCCTAAATCGTCTTTGCCGCTGAGGGCTTCCCCATGGAAAGACTCTTCATCAAGTGAAGCCGCACCAGCAACACCAGCGACTTTAAGTACAGCAATAACTGCAGCAGCAGCAGCAGCAGCAGCAGCATCGCAGCAACGTGCAAAAAGGGGCCCTGTAAGCGACCTTGCAAGCACACCCCCCCGGAAGCTTGCTCGCGCTGCAGACGCGGAGCGACGGCAGCAGCAGGAGCAGCAGCAGCAGCCGCAGCAGGAGCAGCAGCAGCTGCTGCTGCAGAGGGCCTGCCTTACTGAAACACGGCGAACTCCACGAACTCATCTAGGGGGAGCGAGCTCGCCCTTTGGGGGCTCTGCTGCAGCGCAGCAAAACTGCCGAGCTTCTCCATTTGCTGCCTCCCCTTTTGCCCGCACCCCATCGGCAGCGCCGGGAGCAGCAGCAGCAGCAGCAGCAGCGGCAGCAGCAACAGCTGCGGCGCTGTCTCTTGGAAGCCGCAGGACAAACACCCCCATTTTACACAGACGACTCACAGCAGCAGCAGCGGCTGCAGCAGGTGCTGCTGCTGCTTCTGCTGCTGCCTCTCCGTTTGCATGTGCCAAAGGCACTCCCCTCAGGGCCACAAACCTCCGCAGCAACACAAGCCAAGGTGCAGCAGCAACAGCAGCAGCAGCAAGCAGTGCCAAGTCTGTAGCGCTGCATGTACACACGTACGCAGTCCTCATCAGTTTGCTGCAGACTGCAGCAGTGGGGCTTCAGCAGCTGGAGGTAGCAGCAGCAGCAGCAGAGCAGCTACTTCAGCAGCTGCTGCTTTCCTGCAAAGTTGAAGTTTTAGACTACGTGGTTTTTTGCATTGCCGCTGCTTACAAGCCCCATATACGACAGCAGCAGCAACAGCAGAAGTACATGCTGCAGCAGCAGCAGCAACAGCAACAGCAGTTTGATGGAGATATGATGGGCACAGTAGCTCCTCTAGTTCTGGAAATTAGGGAGATTATCCGCATTTCCATAAGTGCGAAGCTGCAGCTGCACTTGCGGCAGTTGCAGCAGCAGCAGCAACAACAACAGCACCTTCAGCAGCACAAATCCGAACGAAGCAAAGAAAGCGACGAAGCAGTCATTGACTGCGATGCACCGTTGGACTGCAGCAGCAGCGGCATCATCACGAACAGCAGCAGCAGCAACAACAGCGGCGCGAGCTGCAGCAGAAGCAGCAGCAGCAGTATCTCTTGCAGCCCTTTTGTGGCTGCTAGCTGCGTCTCAGCCACGGCAGCTGCGCAAGGAGCGGCAGCAGGTGCAGCAGCAGCAGCTGCTGAAGCAGCAAAAGTGTGGCCCCTTTGGGGCGGCTCGAATGAGCTGCTGCTGCGCCTCTCCGGCAGCAATGCACGCAGCGCAGCGCGCGAGGCTTCTGCTGCAGCTTCTGCAACCAGCTACGAGCAGCAGCTGCAGCAGCAGCAGCAGCAGCAGCTGCAGCAACAGGACGATGAGTCTAGCTTGTGGCTGTCCCGCCTGCTTTGCCTTGAGTGGCTTGTGCTGCAGCAACACATGCTAGAAGAGGCCCTGCAGCACACAGCAGCAGCCCCGGCAAAGCACCTGGATAGGCTGCTGCCAATTGTGCTGCTGGGTGCAGCTCTGCAGCAGCAGCAACCTCAGCGCCTGTACGCTGCTGCTTCTGCTTTTACTGCTGATGCCCTCAGTCGGCTACAAGCTCTGTGCAGTAGCAGGTACAGCAACAGCAGCAGCAGCAGCAGCACCGGCAGCAGGACGTCTTCGGCTCCGCTGCACTCGAACAGAGAGCAGCTGCAACAGCAGCAGCAACGGGCGGTGCTGCTGCAGCTGCTGGAATGGATTAACACGGAAGCTGCAGCATCTTTGGGACACTTCAGCTGCTGTTTCTCCCGTGTTGCCGCCTTTGCGTGGCAGCGCGGCGCAGCGCTGCAGCAGCAACAGCAGCAGCAGCAGCAGCAACGTCGTTGTTCCCAACACCTCGCTGAGCTGCGGTCCCCCGTGCAGCTTCAACAGCAGCAGCAGCAGCAACAAAGCGAGCAGCAACAACGGCAGCAGGAGTGCTCGTGTGGTGCATGCGAGAGCGCGTCTGCTGCTGCAGCACCAGGGGGCTGCACGTGGCAGCGCGCTGTGCTCCTGCTGCTGCTGCAGCAGATCCATTGCGCAGGCCATTGTTCTATTAACTGGCTGCAGTCAACCGCTGCTCTAGCAGACCGTGTGCTATCGCTGCTGCCTTCGTCATCACTGCAGCAGCAGCAGCAGCAGCTGGGCACCGCTGCTGCTGTTGCTGCCTTCCGATTCCCATTTAGCAGCTGCAGCAATGAGCTACCTTCCCCTGCAGCAAACTGCGCTGCGCCACAGCCTGCAGCAGAAGCAGCAGCAAATTTACTATCCGAGGCCAATTTTTCTGGTTTTGCGTTCTTTCAAGAGGCCCTTAGCGGAGAGCAGCTGCTGCAGCAGCAGCAACAGTCGCTGCTGCTGTGGTTGCGCGCGTCAGTTGGCTCCGCGCTCTCTTCGGCCCTCCTTTTCAGCTGGCCAGACAGCAGCAGCAGCAGCAACAGCAACAGCAGCAGCAGCAGCGACAGCAGAAGCGCCGGTGACGGCAGCTTCTCTGAGGCAACTGCTGCGACTGCTGCTGCAGCTTCTACGCCGCCTGACATTAAGCGCAGCAGCGGTGCGCCTTCCCAATGCTGCTGCTGCTGCTGCTGCTGCAAGCCTTGGGTTCCCCTTGCCACTTGTGTAGAGGAGGAGCCAAAAGCTCCAGCAGCTGCGGCAGCAACAGCAGCGGCAGCAGCAGCAACAGCAGCAGCAGTCTCGCGTCCGCTGCAGCTGCTGCGGCTGCAGCAACAGCTGATAACGGAACAGCACCAGCATGTCTACTGCAGCCTGTGCTGGTGGGCTGCAGCAGCACGCAGAACGTGGCGGGCCAAGAGGGCAGCGCGCGCAGCATTTTGTGCTTTGCTGCTGGCACTGCAGCAGGAGCAGCAGCAGCGGCAGCAGCTACTGCAGGCGCGTGAGTTTCTCGCGGCATTTGACCCCGATGCTGCTGCTTCTGACGCTGCCTCCCCTTTTGCTTCAAAGGCTACCAGCAGCAGCAGGGGAGTGCAGCAGGCTGCTGCTGACGAGCTTCTGCAGTGGCTACTGGGTTGTTGCGCCGCGGTGGCAGCAACAGCAGCAGCAGTACGGAGTGCAGCGACTGCCGCCGCAGCACCAGCAGCAGCAGCAGCAGCAGCAGCAACTGCAGGGCCTGACATTTCAAGGACTGAATTCCTTTCCAGTCCGCGGACTTTCTGCCGCTACATTGGCGCAGCAGCAGCCCCTGGATCAGCAGCAGCAGCAGCTACACCACCCTCCGCAGCAGCAGAAACAACGGGGCAAGCAGCAGGCGAAGACTTTGCTTCTCCCTTGGCTGGTACAGCACGCGCAGCAGCAGCAGCAGCAGCAGCAGCATCAAAAGGCCCTGAAGGGCCTGCGCTTTTCCTGCCTCCTTTAGTTGATTTGCTGCAGTGCGTTTTGCCCGGCTGTACATACACCTTACACTGCAAGAGAAAATGCTGTTCCTGCTGCTGCTGCTGCTGCTGCTGCTGCTGCCGCACAGCTGAACTTGCAGCTGTGCACGCGCATACTGTTTGCTGCTGCTGCTGCTGCTGCTGCTGCTGCTCATTGACTGCACGACTGCGTCTCCTTTCCCTGTACTGACTGTACAGCCCCAGCTGTTGCTATTGCTGCTCCTAATGCTGCGTTGTTTCTGCTGCTGCTGCCGCTGTGCTGCTGCTTCTGTCCAGGCTTGCCGGCGACCTCAGCGCAGCAGCAATAGCTACTGAAGACTACCTGCTGCAGCTGGACGTCTTGTCACTCTCTGCTGCAGCGTTGCTGCCCTTCTGGCAGGCTGCTGCCTTTGGCTGGCAGCAGCAGCTCTCCCCCCCGCTGCTGCTGCAGCAGCAGCAGCAAGACACCGAGAGCCTGATTACGGAATATGAGGAATGCCGCAGCGAAGCAGACAACCAATTTGCTGCTGCATGCATTCTTTTGGGGCTAAGCCGCGCCATTTGTGCTGCTGCTTCTGCTGCTGCTGACGGAGGTGGCAGCAGCAGCAGCGCCTCTGCTGCAGCAACCCTACCTGCTGCTGCTGCTGCTTCGGGGTGGCTTGAGACTGGAGTGCAGCTGCTGAAAAGTTGGGCAAACCTGCAGGTGAGTCGGCTGCTACCCCTTGCAGCAGCTGTCGACGCTGCTACCACTAGCAGCAGCAGCAGCAGCAGCACAGTGAAAGACCTCCGCCGGGCTCTGGAAGCAGCAGAAAAGAAATATCTGAGTCACAAGTGCGGAGGCAGCAGCAGTGCGGATGGCGGCAAAGCCGGAGATCGAGTTGCTGCTGCTGCTGCTGCTGCCCACGCCGTTGCAGCTACCAGCAGCAGCTATGAAGGCGGCACTCTGCTGGCTCTTTCTGCTGCCCACTTTATCATGATGCATGCGCATGCAGCAGCAGCAGCCATGGAGGCGGCAGACAGCAACGAAGTCTCGGCCATTTCATTACGTTGTGCTGTCGCGGATGAGTTGCTGCTGCTCCAGTTGTCTGGCCATCTGCAGCGGAAGCAGCAGCCGCAACAGGGCGTTCCACCTCAGCAGCAGCAGCAGCAGCGCGTTTTTCTTCTGACACTGCAACAAGTCGAATGCGTGCTGCTTGCAGCAGCGCCTTTGCAGCAGCAGCAGCAGCAACAACAACAAAAGCAATGTGCAGTGGCGCAAGAGGCGCTGCCGATCCTGCTGCTGCCGCAGCGGTGGCTGCCTGCAGAAGCCCCTGTGGCGGTGGCTCGCTTCCTGCAGCAGCTGCTGCTCGTGCCGCCGCAGCAACACGAGCAGCAGCTGCAGCAGCAACCGCAGCAGGAGCAGCAAAAGCAGCAGGATCAGCAGCAGCAACTGCTTTCGGTGCTACGAGAGGCTCCACAACTGCAGCAGCTTTTACAAGACTCAGGTGACAGAGCCTCAGCAGCAGCAGCAAGAAGTGGAGCGGAGGCAGCATCGACAGCAGCAGCACCACCACCACCACAAAAAGCGGCCCTGCCTGTATGCAACAGCAGCCCGTTGCGCATTTGGGGGGCATCTGCCGCTCTTGGCGAGGCAGCAGCAGCCGCAGCAGCAGCAGCAACAGCAATGTTGTCTGCAGTTGCTTGCAGCAGCAGAGGGCTCGCCGTTGTGCCACTGTCCCGCAGTCTGCTTCCCCGGCCGCTGATATCCAGAGGCTGCAGCAGAAGCAGCAGAAGCAGCAGCAGCAGCAGCAGCCAGTGGCCAGGGCCCCCGGGGGCCTTCAGACTGCAGAAATCCCTGGAGGCCCCCAGGGGCCTCAGAGTCCCCTTAAGCCCGGGGCCCTTCGTGGCTGGGCACTGGCCATTTGGGGACATTTCGTCGTTTGCTGCATCTACTTTGCTGCTGCAGCAGCAGCAGCAGCGGGCAGCTCTGTGGGCCGCAGCAACCCTGGGACAGATGGCAGCAGACAGCAGCACCGCCTGCGACTTGCTGCTGGCCACGCTGCAGCAGTGCTGCTGCTCCTCCCACTCTTTGCTGCCAGCGCTGCGCCTCGCAAATGCCCTTCTCGTGCTGCTGCTGCAGCAGGGATACCCAGCTTTAGATGCTGCTGCAGCGCAACTCGAAATGCAGCAGCAGCAGCAGCAGCACCAACAGCGGCAGCAGCGGCAGCGCCAGCCAGGCTTCTTCAGCTGGGACCAAACGCACTACCTCACAGCCAGGCAGCCCTTGTTGCAGGCAGCAGCAGCAGCAGCAGCACCAGCAGCACCAGCAGCAGCAACAGCAGGAACACCAGCAACACAAAATACGGCTGGGCAGCAGCAGCGACAGCTACAGCTGTGGTCTCCTTCCCACACTCCTCCTCAGTGCCACTTGCAGCTGCAGCAGCAGCAGCAGCAACACGCGCTGCTGGTATGTTTGCTGAAGTGCTGCCTTGCCGCGCACGACGCTCTACGCTGCATTTCTGGCCCTCATGATGGGCTGCAGCCGCGGCAGCAGCAGCAGCAGCAGAAGCAAAGAGAGTTCGAGTCTTCATGGGATAAGTTGATCCCCTTAGCAGACAGAGCCGCATGGCTTTCCTTTCTGGCTACTGCGACTGCAGCTAGCAGCAACATCTGCAGCAGCGGCTACAAGGAGGCCCAATGGGAGGACAGCAGCAGCAGCATGAGCAGCAGCAACAGCAGCGGCAGCAGCAGCACAAGCTGCCAGACCGCCTGCTGCTCCCCGTTGCTGCAAGCTTCACCGATCTGCAGCAGAGAGCCTTCTGTCCTTTTAGGCAGCGCAGCTGCAGCAGCAGGAGCGGCAGACAAAGCAGCTTCGCCTGCTGCCCCAGCAGCAGAAACGCATGCAGCAGCAGCAGCAGCAGCAGCAGCAGATTGCGCAGCAGCAGATGCAAAGAGCTCCCTCAGGGCTGCGGGCATTCCAGTGGGGGCTCCCCACTTAGCAGCACTTGCTGACATCTTGCCTCCTCAAGCAGCTGTTATGAAGGGTCTTCTGCAGCTGCACGAGCAGCTGAAAAGGGTCCGGCAGCGACTGCAACAGCAGCAGCAGCAGCAGCAACAGCCGCAGCAGCGGCAGCAGCAGGAGCCAGGGTGGGGGGCCTTGGCTGCGGCAAGTGAGCAGACCTTCATCGGCGTTTGGACTCTGTCCGTGCTTCAGTGCTGCAGCAATGAGCAGCAGCAGCAGCAGCAGCAGGTGCAGCAGCAGCATGTGCAGCAGCAGCAGCACACAAAGTGGGTGCGGATGCTCTGTGGCTTCGCCCTAGAAAGGCTTTGTGGCCCGCAGCCTGCTGGTGGGCTGTGTAAGGTGCTCTTGGCCCTGTGCGAGCTGCTGCGTCTCCAGCAGCAGCAGCAGCGGCAGAAGCAGCAGCAACAGCAGCAGCTGCAGCACCGAGGCCAGCAGACACAGCAGGAGCAACAGCTGAGACGAACAGCTCAGCAGCAGCAGCACCGGCAGCAGCAAAATGAGAACGCGCAGCCGCAGCCACAGCAACTTGGCAGCCCGCGCCTTGCTGAGGACTGCAGCAGCAGCAAATTTATCTCCCCGCACAAACACAGTTCCAGCAGCAGCAGCAGCAAGCGCTGCTGCTGCAGCTGCTGGCACTGCATGCTTGCTGCCTTAGCGACCTTGCTGCAGTGGGCAGAAGCCGTGACGGACTCATCTCCTGCTTCTGCGGCTGCTGCAGCAGCTGCGCTGGCTCACTCGGCTGCTGTGCTGCAGCAGCTGTTTTTGAACGCATGCGCTGGGCTTCTCGCGCAGCAGCAGCACGAGCAGCAGCGGCAGCAGCTGCTGCTGCCAAACGACCCTCCTCCAGCACAGGCTGCTGCGAGCCGTAACGCCTCCAACCTACACAGAGCAGCAGGAATGCAGCAGCTGCTGCTGCGGCTGCTGGCAGCAGCAACAGCAGCAACAGCAGCAGTGACGGCTGGGGATGTGTTGCTGCTCCGCCGAGCAGCAAACTGCTGCATCGACTGCCTTTCTGAGATTGAGTCTGGGCTGCTTGCTCTAGAGGTTGCAGCAACAGCAGCGGCAAAGCCTGCTGCTGCTGCTGGTGCTGCAGCAGCTGCTGCTGCTGCTTCACCTCGACTTAATGCGGTTACCCGGCAGCCTGCTAGTGACGGCTGTGGTGCTGCTGCTCTGTTTAACACAAGTCAGCCAAATGAACTTTTGAGAGTTGTTTGCGGCAAGGTGCTGCTGCTGCTGCTGCCCTTTTGCTGCTGCCCTGCTGCTGCTGTGCGGCAGCAGCAGAGAGCTCTGGAGAGGCAGCTAGGCGCAGTGCCTTGCCGCTCCCCTCTGCTGCTGCTGCAGATCTCTTCTCGCCTTTTGCTACTACTTGGCCCGCGTCAGCAGCAGCTGGAGGCGCTGCCGCGAGAGCCAGTAGAGGCGCAGCAGCAGCAGCAGCCGCAGCAGGAGCAAGAAGAACAGTGGCCATGTCTGGGGCAAGGCGGCCTTTGCCTTACGGCCTGGCAGCAGCAGCAGCAAGCTGCTGCTGGCAGCAGCAGCTGCTTCCTTTTAGCATCAGCTGACCTGGAGTGTCTCTCCACCTGCCGGGCCTTCCCCAAGCCCCTTGTCAGAGCCCTAGCAGCAGCAGCAGCAGCAGCAACAGCAGCAACAGCAGCAAAAGGGACAAAGCTTCCCTGTGCATCTGCAGCAGCTGCTTCTGAAGATCAGCTCAACTGCAAAGATGCTGCACATGTCTTTTTTTGGGACTGCAACTCAAACAACGCAGCGTTACATTTGCTGCTTCGCCCACAGCAGCAGCAGCAGCACCAGCAGCAGCAGCAGGAGCAGGAGCGTGCATCCCCTTTCACCTCTTCTGCTGCAAATGCACGTGCCTCCTCGCTTTTGTGCAGCAGCAGCTGCAGCAAGCCATCCCTGCTGCAGCTGCTGCGGCAGCAGCAGTGGCTGCAGTGGTGCATAGCTGTGGCCTCAGGGAGGGCAGCACAGCTCTCCAGCTCGCTGCCGCAGCAGCAGCAGCCGCATCAGCAGCAGCGGCAGCAAATTCGCCAGCAGCAGAGGCAACAGCCGCACCAAGAAGAGCTGCAGCAGGAGCAGCAAGAAACAGGAATGGTTAATGCTGCAGCTGCCGCCGTAGTTGCTGCTGTTGACTGCGCTGATAACGGAAGAGCAGCGCGAGATACAGCAGCAGCAGAAGCAGCAGCAGCAGCAGCAGCGCCGTCTCAACAGCAACAGCAAGATCGACTTGCTTTCTTACAGAATTGGTGGGAAGAGCGGTGGCTACTAGAGAAACGCAGCGAGGAGTGGCAGCAGCAGCTTCTGCTGCTGCTGGGGCCCTCTGTTCTGCTGCTGCAGGGCTGGCCCCTGCTGCCGCTGCAGGACGTCCGCCATCTACCAACCAGCGTTGCTGCAGCAGCAGCAGAGGAGCAGCGGATGCCGACAGCAGCAGCAGCAGCGGCAGCGACTGCTGCTGCTGCTGCCAATGTGGAACTGAAGCATCGAGCCGCAGCAGCAGCAACAGTTCAAGATGCTGCGCTGCTGCAGAGGCTCGAAGCTCCTGTTTCGCTCATTCTTCGCTGGCTAAAAGGGTGGTCCGGCGAAGCCTCCACGAGGCAGCAGCAGCAGCAGCAGCAGCAGCAGCACGAGCCGATCCCTGACTGGTTAGTCTGCACATGCGGCGACTTGAACGGAGGAACAGCAGCAAGCAGCAGCCCGCCGTGCCCAGCAGCCAAGCAGCAGCAGCAGCAGCAGAAACCCCTTCTGCGGCCCCTAAGAGAGTGGGCTGCCCACCCTGCTGCTGCTGCTGCTGCTGCTGTGCTGCCAGCCCTGGCTGCAGCTTGCTGCAGCTTGTGCTGCACAGCAACACTCTCCATACAAGCACACGAAGATGAGCGCTTGTGGGCCTTCGCCATTCTGCAGCACCACAGGGCGGTATCCAGAGACTTCCACTCACACCTGCTGCAGCAGCAGCAGCAGCAACAACTGCAGCAACAACAGCAGCAGCAGCAGCAGCAACAACAACAGCTTGCCTTTGAGTTATACGGGGAGGAAGACATCGAGCAAGCGCTGCAGCGCAAACTCCCGCCTCATCCGCACGCCCAGCCTGGTAGGGAAAGTGAAGCAGCGGCAGCAGCAACACCAGCAGCAGCAACAGCAGCAGCAGCAGTTACTGCTGCTGCTGCTGCTTCTGCAGGCGCACAGGCGGCTCACACTTCTTCAAAATCATTGAGAAGAGCAGCCGCAGCAGCAGCAGCAGCGCGACTCGGCACGCCAAGTCGACAAGGATCCACCAACACGACAGCATTAACGGCAGCAGCAGCAGCAGCAAGAGCAGCAAGTGCTGCTGCCTTGACGCCGAAAAGCAGCAAATCACAAAGCACTATTTGTGCTGCTGCTGCAGTGGCAGCTGGTTGCCTCATGGGCAGCAGTCCGTTCTCTGCCGCCGCGGCCGCAGCAGCAGCAGCAAGATCAGGGCGAAGGCGCCCCCGTGCACAGCAGCACCAGCAACACCAACGACAGCAGCAGCAGCAAGAGCAGCAACAGCAGCAGCAGCAGCAGCGTGGACCTACGGCTGATGAACAGGAATTGACAATGAGGTTCAGAGAAGAAATGCTGCAAATAGAAGGCGGCTGCCTGTGTCTTTCCCTGGAGGCTTTGGGGCTGCTGCTGCTGCGTATTCTTTCCCCCGTGCTGCAGCCAGCAGCAGCAGCAGCAGCTGCTGCTGCGCTGTTGCAGCCATCCTACCTTAGTGTGCCACTTCACCAGCAGCAGAATACGATAGCCTTGCTGCGGCAGCTGGCCGCCAGCTTCCTCTGCTGCGTTGTCTTGAGGCTGCAGGCTGTGGGGTCTGCTGCTTGCTGCGG